AAAAGAAAGATTGTTGCATTAATGTTTAAGTGAGATACAGTAGAGTGTCACAGCAGGTTGGCTGTGGAGCTGAGGAGATCATGAGGAGGAGAGCCGGTCATACATCTGTGAGGATTTGGCTCATCTTCATCCTTTTAATAACCCCACTGGTTAAAATATGCTTTGACTGGAGATGATGGGCTCCTTATCACTATTCTCTGTATTTAGCCCTCTCTCTCTCTCTCTCTCTCTCTCTGGTTCACATTAGCCTGCAGCCTCTCTCCACTCCCTCTCTCTCTCTCTCTCTCTCCCTTTCTCTCTCTCTCTCTACTCTCTAAGCCTCAGTCTCAGCAATCCTTTTCCCTCCTCAAAAGTCCTGAACAGATTAGCGCTTTGAACTCCCGTGGCCTCATTTCATCCCTTTAGCACTTTATTAACTTTTAAGAGTATAAAATACATTGGATGACAAAACACAGGCACCTTCAAAGAGAAGGAAACTTTTGTGTAAGGTGCCAACATGGAGGGGGAAAAAGACAAATCTGGAATCAGTTTTTTTCCAGTGATGATGAATGTGATTCCAATGTTCACATTTGTAATAATAAAATCCAGCTCTGGGACGTTAGCATGTGTAACAGCATGTTCTGCGGTTCAGTCCATTTGTCTGGACAGCAGTCATATGTTTTAATAAAGGAGAGCAGTAATGGAGTGCAAGAGAGGAAGCAAAAAAAAAAAAAGAATACATATAAAAACACGCAGCCACTGTTTGTTGATAAATGTCTGCAGCAGGTTTGTATTTGTTAGCAAATAAAAGTGACCTAATAAGTGATTTGGAAGAAAACCACGACTAGGGCTTTTTGTTTTAACGGCTGTAGCACAGCTGGAAGTCCACTGGTCTTGCTGCTAGAGGGTTGTGGGTTTGATTACAGATTTGGTAGGGTATATGAGTGGTGCTGTGTTTACCTTAACTGAGAATTTTACAAAAACAAATATAAAGGTGAATGGAATATGTGTTTAGTCAGTGCAGAGACCTAATCCCCTCTGAGCTTGACTCTGATAAAACTAACTGATCAGCTGATCTCAGACAGTGTGAGAAATATAACATAGTTATAACAACCTCTCTGGCTTTGCCAGAACCATTGTCCAATGGTTTTGTTCTTTTCTGTGAACCATGCTTCATATACTGTACAAGAGAGATGTCCTGGTGCTTGTGAGATCGCTATGGTAAATGCAGATCATCAGACAGACCCAGTTTTTCCAGCTGTCTCAGGCATGACAGGCATGAGAGGACGATGGAGCAGCGGCAGAGCCGTATCCTTGAGCACAAAGCATGAAGTGGACATCCTGGAGTTTAGCAGTTTAGGAGCAGATTTAAAAGCACTTTGCTGATAATAATGCAACACTGAGGTTGGCAGGCTGGGCGAGGAGGACTTGGACAGATGTAAAGCACTGGTGCAGATGAGTGTAAGTAAAGGGAAAAAGAGATGAAGAGAAAATAAAAACTGTTAGAGAAAAGCAAACACAACCTCATCCCTGCACTCTTTGAACCAGGAGCCACCTGCTCTCCCTTAATACAACTTGTCTGGATTTTTGTGATGTTGCTCTTCGCCACTATAACATATGCTTACACAAAGAATAGTTTCATGGGATAGCTTAAAGAATCAGGTGGATCTTTTTTTGTCATGTGGTCTGGAATGTTGAACATGAAAGAGTTGAGGTTCATTCTTTTCGGTGAGGAGAAATGTCCCAGTTCATGCTCATTTTACATGGGAATAAGCAAGTGTTGTGTGTTTGCTTGGCACAGTACATCACAGGAATCATTGTAACCTCGACTAAGGACTTTGAAAATTAACTTGCATGATTAAAGTTAACAATGTGATTTTGAAAATGGCTTAAATGGGATAACACAGTGTTGTCTTGTAAGAAACTGGTTCATGTTGCAGAGTAGTGGTAGTAATATTTTGAGTATCACAAGCTAGCAAGACAAGCCAAAGTGTGCAATTTGGATTAGCTTTCTAGGAACTAGCCAGGGTATCTCAGTATATATTGGTCCAAATACTCTTCATGTGGTTAAAAGGTTAATATATATATATATATATATATATATATATATATATAAACGAAACATTCTGATGTTAAACAGGGCTTTTTGTTAAAAATGTATGGATTTAATTTACTTTCTCACTTGTTTCTGCATTCAACACCACCAACATGACACCAACATGTCAAAGAACTCCTTTTGAAAGTTCCACTGTATATTTTGTTTTTCTACAAAAAAGTTCAGCCATGCCTCTCAGAATTGTATCCAGTGCTCTCTGTTGTGTGCGTCTAGACATCTCAATCAGCAAAGATATGGAAGCTGTTAGAAAGAGATATGTTCATCTATTGCCTTGGTCTCAGCAGGCATCAAAAGACCCCGGCAGCCGCCTCCGTCACGCCACAGGTGGAGGATATGCTGTGAAATGGCACCATTGTCATCTCTCCGTACCATCTGCTTCACTTTCTCCAGCACACCCCCGCCCTCCCCCACTGCCACTTGTTGTCATCAAAGCAGCAACAATGGCTTGTCACCTTGTAATGAACCCTTGGGGTGCAAGTCACTGATTTAAAGTCCCATTACTGTCAGAATGTAGCGTAAGTGCAGAAATGATGGCCGTGGTGCGGTGGCTTGCTGGCTCTGAGCACAGATGGTGCTTTTTCACACAGTCAATGTTACTGGGTAACTTTTTGTCTGCAGTGGCTGCTGGATTGTGAAAGTGAAAGTGTGTTGCAACAGATTTTTCACTGCAACAGTGTTTTTCCTCTTCTCCTTTAACTCCTCCTGGTCAGTAAAGGAATCAGGAATCACCTCTAATGAGTTGTTATCTGCAGGCGGAAATAAAGCTTTAATATTCTGCACCATTGGAGAAGAAAATGAACCACAGAGTGTCCAAAATTGCAGGTACGTTGTCAGACGTCCTTTGTTGGGATAAGACCCCCCAAAAAAGCAGAAAGAACACAACTTCTGTTCTGTGTGATTGTGTTGACTCTTGTTGCCCAAGCTGCACCGTGTCTTCCCTCTCTGCATGTGAGCTGTGTCTGAAAAGGCAGCGAGCAGCGTGAGGCCGAGGGGACTATGTCCACTCATGTCACATGAGTCTTTTCATCTCTCCATGCTGCCATTATGGCAGGGCGCGAGGTGAAGGGCAACACAGTGGCAAAGCATGCTGGGATACATGGACTGCTAGGCCCTCACGTCGGGGGGGCTGGTAGCCCTTGGATGTTGTTGGTACTTGTTGCTAGGGTACGCTGGCAGCTGCCTCAGAACTGCATGGCAGCCAACCTACGGGGCATTAGTTCTGGTCCGACCCCTGCAGGATGTTATTCAGCACCTGCATTTGAATTCTTCATCTGTATTCAAATGGAGCCGCTATTGTTGTTGCTTAAATGTGTCTGTGAAGAACATCAGTATGAACCACAGAACAAGGAAATGCTTCAATGTGAAGTTTATCCTAGGGATTTGGGATCATTTGACATAACTCTGTCAAAGCTGAAGTTTTTTGGTTGTTTTTTTTCTTCTGATCATGTCTTCTACTCAGGAGTGTAACATATTTTGATTTTCCTACACTTTAGAAAAAGGATTAATAGGCGTAGTCAGGTACTCCTACTAAAACAAAGGAGTAAAAATAATAATACGATGGTCCTATTTGAAAGAAAACTAAAGGTTAGACCAGACATGGCTTAAACTTGTCCAAAAGTTGAATATTGAGGGTTTGTTTTTGTTTTTCTAAATAGACTGTACAACACAAATGGGCAAAGTTACTTCGTAGCAAAAGGTGAATGTTGGGTAAAGGTGTGAAAGGGAAAATTCAGCAAGGCAAACCTGATCAAATATGATGTAACCAGTGTTAAAGACTTGTTTTATTTAATTCAAATCTTTTGGAGACCTGAGCGACTTCAGATTTTAACAATTTAAATATCTCATTTTGAAATTACAATGCCTGTCTTAAATCTTTTTGACATACCCTACTGGCCTACAGTGTGACTAACATATCTTGCAATCTGCTCGAGAGACAGACATTCCATTTGCGTCCAAATCTTAAGCTAAACTCCTTCCTCTTCCCTGGTCTTCATACTGCTCCAGTAGAGATGGCAGTTCATCTCACAGTGCCAATACATCAGTCAGACGCCTCAGGCAGTTTGACCCAGCTGAGAAAAATGTTGATCCAGATGTAATTAAAACCTCAACAAGTCTGTTTTTAACAAAAAAATAAAACATGTTTGAAACATCCCCCCGAATGATCAAGTTAGGGCAGCTCACGGGCTGTGACTCATCCGTAATGGAGACAAAGTGATAATGTGTGGACACTGGGCCATGCTGAGTACACACTGTGAATAAGGTTATGAGGAAGAATGCTTCATCCTCTACCACGCTAGCCAGCTCATCAGGCATGCAGTCCCAGCTGGCATGGAGGCAATATGAAGCACATAAACCCTTGTGATATTAATGACTGTGTGGAGCTGAAAGCCTCTGATGCTATTCACAGATAGGCTGCTAAATGTCCCCCAGTACTGGGAACACAACATTATATGCATCCATATAAATATCCTCTCATCTCACCAGCACAGGACAGCTCGTCCTTGGTTCCCATGAAAATAATAAGAGGTGGGCCTCCTGTAACTCAACACCCACAGACTGACGATTGGCAGGAAGGTAACAGCCAAGAGAAGAAGAAACTCTGCCATAGCAATGAGCAATTTTGCTGATGTTAGGCATGAACATGTTAAATTGCAACGGGCCTTTTGATTTTTTTTATTTTATTTATTTATTTATTTTTTGCAATTAAATAAAAATGAATGACAAAAAACAAAATCTGGATACATATCTGATCCACTACCTGATGTATATAATAATACAGAATACATCATCTACAATAGAAAGTAATTAGAAAATAGAAATTGACTTTAGGGTTTCTGTTTCCATAATTACCTGAGATAATGAGCTCAGTTTAACCAACATACTGACCTTTGACATTACATCACAGGAGCCAGTGATTTGAAGGTAACTTTATCTGATGTCAGAAGACCTGTTGACAGTGAAATGCATGTGTAACCGACTGGAGGCCTACTATAATGTCCACAGGACTGAGAAACACAACAAGGTAGGAAATTTGAGGCAAAATGAACTAAACTTGAACAAAATTACAAAAAACTTTTTCATTTGTGCAATATTACTTTACTTTCCTGCAGGACATGCATACAGTCTCCGAATGTTTCTGCAGATTGTTAGGAGTAACCAGCAGCATGTGGAAAAGTTGTGGTGAAAGACGGACAGAAATGTGGTCAAGCATCTTCAATAGCCCGGGCCCCTAATCAGTTGTTGAGATGGGCCAAGAGCCTGTCATCTCTAGGGGGTCCCAAACGTTCTTTAACGCCCAGATCTGTCACACAGCTGTCACTGTCCTTAAAAGTTGGACGGCATCTCACACACTGGATCTGTGTCCGATGAGATCAGTTATCAGCCCCTCCTGCAGGACATCACCGACGTCAGTGTCAGGTTCCCCTTTCAGCAGTACACTACACATGAATGGAGGGACAATCAAAGGCGAGTCCTCAACATTGGGGGAGACTGTCCCAGAGTTAACCCTTGCTTGTTCTGCTCTTAAGAGTCTTGAACGCTTGGGACCCTCACAGTGAGCAAGTGTCCAATTTCTGCGCTGGTTTAGCCTCTGAACTGTGAGGATGGATGGAAGGGCAGCTAAGCCTTTTTATGAAGACCTCCAGGGACGAGCAGCCCTGAAGCTGAATGGACTCAGGAGATTCTTAATTACATTTCATGGCTGTTCGGAGTTTGTCTTTGTTGTCTGGTTGTCCCCAATGTTGCCTGTGTGGGAATTCCCAACAGCAAACTGTAAAAAGCTGCACAGCATTATTTGACATGGACAGATGACAGTTGAGTATGATGTTGGAAAACCCTTTTTACAAATATTTACAAATTATAACTTTTTTTAATAGGAAAAAACACTTATTTGTATTTGTACTCATTGACATTTTCAACCGAAACTCAATCTTATGAAAACCCAGTTTTTTTAATTTAACTGTATTTGAAATTCTATCTGGTATTTGATGACAATATGCATTGTGCAGAATGTTCCATTGTGAAGCTAGAATATCATCACTAGCTCCTGCTGCCAAGGCTGTGGTGCCACACTTGATCGTCAGCCCTCATCACCGCCTCAGCAGGGTGTTTCTCACCAAGTACAACATTATTAACATGTTTTGATCCCACTGTGGCTCAGTGGTAAGGATGTGTATTTTGAATATCATTCCAATTAGCATCAAAGTATACTACAGAATCTTTGGAGCTGACAACTCGCAGCACAGGCCAGCATCAAATTATGGGAGACAGAAACAACAAGATGGCAAAACCAGAACAGTTGCCTTGTTTGAATTGGAAAGTTTGTCCCTCAGTGAGACCAAGACCTTTAAGCAATTCTGACAAATCCCACCTCTGGTCTGCCGCAGATGGCACAGCAATCCACCCAGGCTGTGAATGAATGAAAGAGTAGGTGTTGAGCTCTAATTTCCCAACGTCTGCTACTAGCTAGAGCCAAACCAGGCATCAAAGCCTGCTCCCAGAATTAGCCACACTTTAATAGTGGCTATTAAAAATGTGAGGTCACAAATTAGACCAATGTTTGGGTTTAATAAGCTTAACTACTGGAATAACACTTCATTAACTTCATTCACTTTAAACCAATGAGCAGCTTCATCATTCAGATGAATATTCCCCCGCCAGCAGTCATGTTAGACAAATCCGTGCACTCAGCAAAGGGAGCAGATACTGATGGCCTTGTTTGGTGGTGTTTAATGACTTACACGATGATTGGTCTGTTCTCCTGGAGCCGCTGATCCACTTTGCTGTGTTCCGCTTCAGCTAGTAGATCTCGCCGTGCTGTGGATCTTCAGGTTTTTCCGAGTCCTTTCCTCATATGTTAAGTGCACAGGAAGCAGTGATATAATTCATACGTCATTTTACAGCCCGTCTCATAAGATCAGGACGACTCTGAATTTATGACGAGCCATTATTCTTATTAGGCTTGTAAAAGAAGGCATTAGCCCACAGCAAGCATTAGTAAAATTCACTTTGCCTAACAAGGGGGCAGGACAGGGGTGAGAGAACAGTTAAATTCAATCAGCACTCTACAAGGTGATGGCGCTGTGCCCGGTTTTCATAGCTGCGAAACATTCAACAATGATAAATGTGACTAATTGTATGAGCTCCAGGGACGGAGCGCAGATCTCTGAGGGTGAAATTTCATTGGGATACGGATCCCTGCATTTTAATGTGATGTTTGATTTGGACAGTATGGACAGCTGATTGCGTGCAAGAGAAGACAAGCATTGACTCATCACCATGCATCAAATTCACCTCAAGCCCCTTCCACCCATGAGATAATGATGCACAGCCAAATTAAATAAACAAAGTGCAGGAGCTGTGATCCTCCAGTCCAGGGCCCCACGCGGATCCTGATTCTGCACGGCAGCTTAAGGAAATCCGGCCATCCCAGTGTGTGTCCGATTGGTCACAGAGGACCGTGTTGGGCTGGGGAGCACAGGCCCTGGTATCTTTGATTTTCACTTTATACGACATGGTTCTCACATGACTAGATAACACTGTAGCTCCAGGCAGACAGCTGTGTCTGGCCTGGGGTGTAAGGCAGAGGGATAAACAGGTGGAGGAAGGAACCGGACTGGAAAAGGTCTAGTGGTAGCCGCTCCACTTTAACTGTTGGAGGGAGAGCTCCTCAGGCGTTGAAAGTAAAATGGTGAAAAAGTTGCCCTTATTAATAGTGGACAATTTTATAGTTCATAACTGCTGTGAAAGGGTTCACATTTAGCACAGAGTTAGTGGTGTTCTTTGATAATTTGCTTTCATTTTCCTCTCCTCACCTTTCCTGTGGCTTTATGCAAAACATGTATGTCAAACATGAGGCCCAGGGGCAGATCACGTTCATCTGGGACAAACATTTGGCCCTGAGGAAGTTTTTACTCAAAAAAAAAATCTAGAGAGATTAGTTTTCTGGTTGCAACTATGCCACTTTTAGTGACTTCACATCCACATTAGTGAGATAAAGTGTCCATGATGTCATTACCTGTCAGTCCTGGTCCCTGTTCAGTCAGTATTTACTGTTGTCTGTGTCAGTACTTAGAGCCCTGCTTCCTCTTCAACCAGCACCAAAATCACATAATTCCCCTTAATTACCAGTTTTCTGTGTAACAACTGTCTGGCCTCCAGACCAGAGTTACTAAATTCACAATGACTGCAACTATCAACTGCATCACTTCCTCCATAAGTGAATGTTGTCAGTTCATTTACACTGTTGTGGTGGAAACTATCTTTTAAATCCCCAAGGGAGCAAACACGATTAAGGAATATGGATTTCATCTCCTCTCGCCTTGTCGTCGACTCCTCCACCAACCAAATTAACATCTGTCGTTGTTTCCCTCCAGTTTCCCTGTGACTTAAAGATGTTGTGAAATATTCAAGGGGAGCGTTTCAAGCGTTGATGATGTAAATATTTTGCAAAAAAATGCAAAATTAAAGCAAAACTGACGCTGAGATTTGATGTGTTTTCCCACTGACACTTTCTTATGGCTGTGTGGTTAGACATTAGTTCATCATCTCCAGCGGGCACCAACCCTGGATCTCTTCATTGATCCCACACAAAACAAATGGCAATCTCCGACCGCGGGACACAATGCTTCATCCTGCCCAGTCCATTAACCCCTATCACAGAGCTCCCACACTGAAGATGGAATGCGCCGACGCCCCACTGTTAGATGGATCGGCAGGAGAGGGAGAGATAGAGAGCGAGGGAAAGGTGGTGCTGTGGTGGAGAATCGGATACAGGAAGAAGGAGGGAGATGGGAGCCGCAGATGGAGGGAGAATGAAATATGGCCAAGACAGAAGTAAAGAATGAAAGTGTCATAATGATCAGTTTATGATGAGTTGTTTTCCAGGTGCCATCAAATGAAGTGTGTTGTGTTTCACATAATGATGTCTGAGCCAGGAGAAGTCAGCTGCTGATGAAAGTCACAGTCCTTTTCTACGCCACCCAGTGTTGGCTTTTATGTTAGCTGTAAAGTTGATCATTACAGCAAACAGCAGCTGTGCTGCGACTTCCTGATGTCTAACATGTGACCTGCGGAATGGGAATCACATCCAGGATGGGAATAACCACTTCCTAATAAGTATTTACTTTTAAAAATTGCAAAATAATAAACAAAATATAGGATTATCCATTTCAAAATCCAAAACCACATCCATTTTCTTTAAACTCCAAAAGCTAAATAGATTCAGTGTTATTGTGAGAGGGTTAGTGTAATCTTAAGTCCCTGTTTATGCACAGGGACCTGAATTTGGTCCTAAACAAGTCTGGTGGAACAGCTGGCACGTCCAAACTGAGGTTGTAATGGGCTTTAATTGAGAACGGGTTTTCCTGGCTTACTGGAAAACGGCGGCACCAGCAGCCACCACACACTGGTAGGTTGGAGGAGAAGTCAGAGGGTCTTCATTAAAGCCAAACCACAGAGTGACGAGGAGGAGGGCGGCCTCACGCTCCCTGCTCTCTGGGCTGACTCGGCTTTGTCAGCCCTTCTTAGTAATTAGAACAGACCTCCTCCTACTACTGTAATTAACAGCACTGGGATGTGTGCTGTAATTCAGCCTCCTGCTCTGTTCTGTTCTATGGTCCTGGGTCTGAGCGGATGCTGGGTGGGCCACTCCTCAGACAGCTGCAGGGGGAAATGATCAACTTTTTTAATTGAATTGTTAGGATAGTAGACGCACATATTATCAGAGATGAAGGGTTTCTGAGTTCAGCAGAGAAAGACTGTTGGAAATTGTGTGCACTTTAGTTAAACACCTTAAGAAAAAAATTACCACACACAGTCTTTTCTTCAAAAATAAAACCATAGCATCATATCAAATAAATCTCCTCAGTATTTACAGTATTCTTTTTTTTTCACCCTTTCGATTGCAAATAGTCAATTCAGCTTTTAATGGAAATATTCAAAAGTGAAAAATACATTTAAAAAAGTTATCTTGGGAGTTATTGGGAGAAAATGCAAAACTAATTTTATGACTTATTTGATCAGACAAAGATTTGACTTTGACATCCATTTTAATGTGACACAGTTCTGATGCCAACTCAATAACTATTAGCTGTGTAAACGGTAGATGCTGCCTCAGGTCATACACTGTGAGAAAGGAAGGTGTGATTTGCTTCAGTAGCCAAGAAATGTTTAAAGTGCTTATCACCTTTAATAATACCACTGTGGATGACCGAGAAGGGCTGGGTCTGCAGTTAGACTGTGAGCAAATGTTCCTCCAAGGTTCTGTGCTGACAAGTCAAGACGTACAGTAGATGACTCCTGTCAGATGTTTAAGCTTCTGTTGCCTAATGTGTTTTAGGAGTGATCAGGAACCCATAGCGGTTTGTTTGAAGCGGTGCACAAATACAAATCAAATACAATCAAAGAGAACCGTTGTTAATACAACGTAGGTGTGTTTGATCTATTTATGATAGATATTCACAATTTGGCTGTCCTTCAAAATAAATAAATAAAAAATGCAGCTGAAGCTGTCCTGCTGTCTTCTCTCACTGAAGTTTGTCTCTTCTAAAAACAAGACTGGACTGCCATTGGACGATATTTTTGATCGGTTTGTCCAAAGGTCCTTGGCAAATTTGGAAAAAAAGGAAAGAAAAATGAGTGTGAAGAAAGATGAGCCGTCATTGAAACACATTTGTGTCAGCCGGTGTCCGATGTGTTTCAGTAATCTATGGGGGCAGTTATGTCTGAGACCAGAAGAGACATTCATCAAATTCCTCCTCTGTCTGCTGCAGCAGAACATTGACAGAAGAATTTCAATGCACCACTCAGGGTTCTAAAGTGTTGGCATCAAGGTGAACTAAAAGTGATCTCCTAAATACATGAGGAAGGACAGCAGCAACGTAGTTCAAGAGAGAAAACACATCGTATGAATGTAATAAAATGAAACCATTCATTGTGTTTGGTTGACTTGACTTATAAAAGCACAGGCACCAGTCAATTCTGTGCACGTGTGTTTTAATGCCCTGGTCCAGATGATATAGACCAGTAAAGCTGTAGCCGTGGGCCAGGTAAACATGCACTGCACTGCACGGCCGTTTCTGTTCCATTTCAAAGACTGGGAAAGTGCTTATCTCCATAAATGGCACAATATCATTTTCCAATGTGCCTGGGATTTTTTTATAGGTGCTCAGAGGGTCCATGGTGCAAATTAAAATGAACTTATGTTCTTTCAACTGCCTTTTCCCCCTTCATCCAGCAGGATTTCTGCTGTCTGCCTTTTCTGGAATGTTTTTTTCCCGGGCCAATATAAAGCTGTCAATGGCTTTATTTTTTACTGGTAGTGAGGTGTGATCTATGGTCCGTGGAGATGTTTGTTTTGCCATGCATGGAGTGTCTCGGAAAGGTGTCGGGGATGGGCTCTTGAGTGACACCAAGAGTTCACAGAAGGAAGATATTTATTCAGATCTTCACTGAGCACAAGGAATATATATATATATATCGGGGTCAAGGTCACCTTCAAAACTTCCAAAATGAAGTCCAAGTTGAGTCTGAGTCACAGGAGTAAAGATCAGGTCGTGTCATGTTGATGTTCAGTCAGACCCTAGGAACTAAGGTAATCTGTTGATGTGAAGTATTCCCAGTAATATCTGACTTGTAGAAGATTGCAGATTTCACTTCAAGTCTGAATCAATTCACTGAAGAAAGTTTTTGTCCAGAGTAAAGTTTGTCTGGAGACACGTTGGTTTCATCCTGTAGTCTAATTCAAGGTTTAATTAAGGTTTAATTCAGACTACATGTCAGTAATAGAAAATTCAGGTAGATTCCAGGTCCGGTCCCTGGGGTTTGAACTTGGAGGCAGGGAGACGTTCGTGTGACGTCTGTAGTTTTGAGTCTGAGTCCAATTAACTGAAGATAAATCAGAGTCTTTATGAACATGAACTCCTGTCCTTGACTGTCCTAGACTTCATGAATTAATGACCTCATACTTGAATCTTTAGAGTTGATGGAATTAAAGTCTTATGGCTCCAGCAGAAATACCTGCTAAAAAGATTCATATAAGAAATAAGTTTGGTTTTAAACAGAGTGTGCTGTTTATTATGTTTCTTTTTGTGAGCCTAGCTAATGAAAGTTACATAATTAGTACTAAATCCAGCAGCAGCCTGTGGACAGAACCAGCAGGGTTGGCATTTGTCAACAGTGTCCACTGATTTACACTAAATTATCCTTGGAAAAAACACTTATAGATGACAGATAATTCTTCTCTGAAATGGGCAGAATAAATACAATAATAATCAGATTTATTTTTTAGTCTGACCTAAAGTTACCTGTATTATTTCGTATTGGCTGAATGTGTGTTTACATTCAGCACTAATGCTGTTTTGTAAAAGCCTTGTACTCCTGGGGTTTGGATCAAAATCACTGTCAGCTCTGCCGCGGATGAAAATCATGCAAGACGTCTGGGATGCAGCTGTTTTTATCACCGAGTTGGTTTTCCTGTTGCTGTAACACTGATCAGATCAGAGCGTGGATTACAGTCGTCTGTTGGCCTGGTTACAAGTCTCTTCATTGCAAATGACTGGAATCTTTTTTTCCTCCCCCTGAATGTGAGGTCAGAGATTAATGTGTGAACAACAAACTGAATTTATGGCTCATGACTTGCATGTGTTTTGGTCCCTGATACACACAGGGCCTAATGAAAGCCTGACCCTCCTCTTATTGTTTTGTTATGGATTTGTCCACCTTCAGACCATTAGCTTAATATCATGTCATTTGTTTTTCACATCACACACTGGCTGTGCTTCTACATTAGGTAGAAGAAAAACCACAGCTGAGCATAAGGCCAAAGACCCAGAGCAATGAGGCAGATGACAGTAAAAAAGTTTTTTCCTGTCCAGACAGTGTGGATGGGCTGAAATGTGCTGATGTGGAACATAGCCCAGAGACGCAACTATGTCTCTGCACGAAGCCCATTATCCCCTATAGTGTACAAAGCAGCCCTGCTATGGCGAGTATTTCCTGCTTCCTCTCCCGCAGCAGAGCCAGGTACAAGTCTGAGGCCGTAACACGACTTCCCACTGTAACCCAGCTGGAAACCAGAGGAAGGAGAGGAGCATCTTGGCGGGTCGCGGCCTCCAGATTTAGTGGGCAGGAAACATTGTTAAAGAACAAAGCGTGTCTGTCTTTTGGAGATACAGTGCTGCGTCAGGCAGCAGCTGAGGTGTGATGAGCTGGGAAATATGTCTTGGGATTTTTGTCTTTTTCTGCTCAAGTGAACTGAGCATGTCAGTGTTTTGTCACTTGAGATGTGAAGTAGTAAAATACTGTTGTTTTTGCCTGACATTAATAAGATAGTTGATTCACTGATTCACTCTGTAACTGGAATGGCAACCAAGACCAAGAACATGGCCTAGTTCCATCCATTTCTTATATATTACACATAAAGAACTAGCTGTGGCCAAGGCCTCCTTCCTCCTAGGGAGGTCAATGTTTAGCAGATCCAGTTCTGTACATTCCCACAGGAATAACTTGTTTTCCCTGTAAAGGTCTGTATAGTTAGCCCCCCATCTACACACCTTTTTCAGGCATTTCTTTTGTTAGACTAAGGCAAAAAGTTTCTTTTTTGTGCTGCAAAGTCTCTCACTGCAAAGCAAAGTCAACTTTTGTTGAAACTACACAAAGACAACAACACATTTCTTCTGTTTCTGTTTCTCTTTTGGCACAGTACTATTTTTTTTTCTAAACCGTGTTCCTGCCTAGAGTCTTTATCTTGTCTGGAATGGAGTTGGCTTCAGTTGCCTCTAATTATGTGATTCATCAAGGAGACATCATTTTAAAAGCACATAATGATTGATGGTTGCATACAGGACTAAAAACAGGCAGAGCAGACCTCAGTCAGCAAGTGACTAAGTGCTAATGTGAGTCAGGTGCCAGTGAGGTATTGTATTCTGTTGAGCCTGGACATCATTTAGAGGATGCAGATGCACACAGAATGCAGTATTTCCACCAACTATGTTTGTGTTGTTCAATTATCCCGGATGTCGTGAATCAGATTCTCTTCCCACTGTTTCCCGAGGGCTTCAGGTGATTCTGTTTTGCTATGAAGGCCAGAACAAAGACAATGGACAGTTTTGCCAAAAAAATGCAAAACAGCCACTTTGTTTAAGCAGACTGCTGAAAGCACATCTCTCCCAAATGCAC